CCCCAAAACCCCAAAACCCCAAAACCCCAAAACCCCAATATTTGTATTAGTATTGATAAGTTTGTTATAAATTTTCATCTGTAAAAATGAACACAATCGAAATTGAGGAAAGTATTATTCACTGGGGTAACCTCCATCTGGATAGTAACTGCTACTTTAAGGTAGAAGATATGCTGGACGGAAAGTTCTTCAACTCCCTCTTAATGAAAGATGGGTGTTGTCCCATTGATGATGAGAACCATTTTGGATTTTCCTACGGAGATCTCGAAAATACAATGAATATTATATAAACAGCTTTTACACAGACTATGACAATATTTTGAACCATAATGACTATAGAGATATCCTCCAAAATGATGTCCTGTGAACAGAAGATCACGTCTTGTTCATCATGGAGCTAATAATCGGAATTCTTATCAAATAAAGCCAGTAATGGAAATTGGGTTAACGAGATTAGCAGTCTTGATGAGAACAAACAGCAAGCAATAGCTAATCTTTATAATAAGATCAGTGAGCTGATCGAGCAGAAGTCAGAGGACTCCTCTCTGAACTCTCTTCAAAATAGTCGAGAATTTATGGCTCTCCAGAAGAAGAATGCTGAGTTTAAGGAAATAATTTTCAAATTTGAAGAAGATAATAACAAATTGGAAGCCCAAGTTAAACTTTTGCAAAAGCAGTTAGAAGAAAGTAAATAAAGAAAATGAAGAAATTTATAATAAGTATGAAACAGCTAATAAGAAAAAGGATTATGATGCCTTGAAAGCAGAGTGAAATACCCTAGAGACACTACTCGACAACAAAGAAAGAGAGAACAAGGCATTAAAGATTCAGTGCCAAAATGAAATCGAACGGATTAATGACAAAAATGAGGAATACCGCCAAGAACTAGAAGTTCTTAAAGAGAGTATGTTCAGAGCAAAGCAGGAAATTAAGGCGCTCTCAATTTACAAACGGAGGGTCGCCCGGATGGAAGAGGTTGACAAGATTAATATTGACCTGAAGAACAACATATCCCAGCTAAAAGACGAGCTAAAGGAGAAGGATAAATCAATAAAGCAGAGAGAGCTAGAGATTACCTCACTCACTTCGAAATTAGGCCACAAGGGTGAAGAAATTAGCCAGCTAAAGGATAATGTGGTAGAAGTTGAAGCTGAAGTCCAGAAATACAAGAACATTCGAATCGACCTCATGTCACAGATCGAGAAACTTAGCACAGAGCTTGAAAGAGTTAACGAAGAGTTAGATGAAAGAAACAGAAGACTTGAATATGCTGAAAATATGAACTTTAACGAATACTCCGATGACGGACTGAATTTTGATTTAAGCGAGAGAATCAAGAATTTAGAAGAAGAGAAAGATGAACTTATTAACAAACAGAATCATGAAGATAATATAGTAGTGAAGACTCTTGAGTCAAAAGTAGAGAAGCTTGAAAATGATAAGAAGGTAAACCCTTCTCTCCTCTCTTAAAGGCCTTCTAGAAATTTTCATTCTTAACTTTCTATAGCAATTACTCCAGCAAAGAAAACGGGATATAGTAAAATATGACAGATATGAGCAAGAGAGAGAAGCTAAGGAGCTCATCAGCAAGAAAATAAAGATACTTGAGAAGGAAAGAAACATTGCAAATATGGAAAAGAAGAAGCTTAGTGATAGAATTAGCAATTTTTACAAGGAAATTTCAAGATTGAAGAACTTCGAAAATGAGAACAAGTCTTTAAAACGAGATAAGACCGAATTACTGGAAGAGTTACAGAAAGCATCCAAAGAAAATCATAATTTGCAGAAGAAGATTATCATGTTGCATGAGAAAAGTCGGTTTGGGAATGAACTTAACATTGAATCTGATCAAGAATCTCCGATCTGTGAAGAGAGCCAGATTCTCCAAAATTCGAAGATCTATTCAAACTCTAAAGACAGGAGTATTATGGACTTGAGCTTTAATAAGTCTGGAGAGTACTACGAGGAAGATTTTTCACCTGCTAATTCAAAATCAATGGTGATTGGTCGGAAATTAGACAGAAGCAAGTATCTAACTGCAAATCCGCGGTTAAATGAGACAATGATCAGTGATAGAAGCACCAATAGATTTCAAAAGAAAATTCTTCTGGATAAAGATAGAGAGATCGATAGTAAGAACAAAGAAATAGAAGACGTCACTAAAAAGTATGAGGAAAAAATCAGAGAGCTTAACAAGAGTAGAAATGATGAGAGGGAAAAATACGAAACTAAGCTACAAGGGCTTGGAAAATCATTCAAAACTTTGACTACAAGAAATAAAGGAAGAAACCTTAAAGCCAGAGCGAAGACTCCTATAGTATCCCTCGATCAGTTCATTCCAGATAAGAAGAAGGAGATGATCCTTGGAGATATCGATGACATTGAGGATGAAAATAGTGATTCTGATGAGGGTGAAAATAAACAGATTTTTGAAAAATTCGATCAATTCCACAAGAACTTCGAAACATTAAGGAAATCACTTGCGAATGAAATTAACGATAATGAGAAAGATTCGAAAACTGTAAGTGCCGATGACACGGTTAATTATTTAAAAGCTTAGTTTCCCAGTTTGAGCTAATATTTATTTTATACAGGTGAGCAACATGATGAACAATTTCATGGATGATGACTTGAACTACCACTACCCCATGACAACTAAGTCAACTTGAAGTAATGATTATTCAGACATTGACGCATTCCTTTCAAATAAAGACTGGACGCAAGGGAATAATTATTAAAATGATTCAATTATATTATTCCTTTACGGGGTTTTGGGGTTTTGGGGTTTTGGGGTTTTGGGG